GTTAAATCTGTATATATATATAAATATATATGTAAGTATATGTATAAGTATGCTTGCATAAAAAATTATGTTGAAAATCTGAGCAAACAAATGTTTTACATTGTTGAAAAGTAGCTAAAGGCAGAAAAAAAAGAACATTGCAAAATGCTTACATATACATAGCGGAAAGCTGCTGTTGCCCATTGTCCAAGCCAGTGCGTTCCTCCATTTGGCCTGCAGCGCCATTAGCCGTGACCGAGGCGCAGCGAAACGGCAGCAGAAACGGAAACCGTAACCAAAACCCCAGCCAAATCTAAATCCTTTTTATGCAGCGATTTTTCTTTTACATAACATAGAAATCGTTTCTCTGTTTTTTTTTTTTAAAGACATTTTTTCAATTCTTTTTTTTTGGCTTTTTTTTTTGTGTGCGGTTCGCTGGACCAAACTAAGCTGTTCTAATCTGTTTGCCGTTGCCCCACGGGTTATCGTGTGCCGCCTACGCGTTTGTCTGTTGCTTGCCGCATAACCCAGCACTCCCCCCACCCACTCGACAGGCGCACGCCAGCTGACGTTTGGGCTTTGGCTTGGCATTTAATTACATTATGATATTAGTCAGGCTTTCGGCTGGCTTTAAGCGCTGTTTAATTGGACAAATGTGCAACTTTATGTGGCATTAATATTAATGCTGCCTGCCTGCTTCTTATCAGATCTTTTTTCGATTTTCAACCGACTTCACAGCCGAGCAGACAGACAGCAGCCGTTTGGCTGTTTGGCTTTTGACTTTTCGTTTACTGTGCGTTTATGTATATTTCTTTTAAAATTGATTTCCATCAAAACGCTAAATGTACGCAAATAAACAAATGATCCAGAAATAGAATTTCCACTGAAAATTTAATAGAAAAAATCGAAAAGGGCCAAGCACTGAAAACGTGAGTTGTATTATAAAATAAACAAAAGGTAGATCGACGCTATATACCTGGTTCTGCCAGCCGTAAAATCAATAAAAATAATGCGCCCACAAAATTGTCTTCGCGTCTATTTGCCGAGCGGGTCGTAAAAGGCCAGAGGGCCAACAATTTCAACATTTGTTATTACTTAAATTATGAACTCAGCCGTGAGCAATTCGTTGGGTTGCTTCGCATATTCTTTGGGGCTTTTCTGTGTGTGTCTATAAATAAGAAAGTTCTACTAATGCCAAAGTTGGCCACTTTTGCTTGGGCTTTAATCAAAGCAAATGAATTTAAATGAAGCGACGCACAAAGTCCTACAGCTATTTGCATAGCATTCGTTCTAGCGAAACGTTTTTTAAGTGAAAAAAAGGATGCGAATAGCCATAGATGGTAGAGCATAAAAAAGACGAGTACTAGAAATGTAAAGCAGCAGGGGCGGAGCTGTGTGGGGGCCAAAGCTGAGCTGCTTTTTATTTGCGCGAGGATTTGTATAGCTGGAGAGGATAAGCGCTGTATCCGTTATCCTTTGTGTTTGCATGAATTTAATGCAATCTAAATATTTGTGGGAGATTCTCCTTTTCTGCTTCTGCATCTTCCTCAGCTCCTTTATTCATTATTTTTTTTTTTTGGCAGTTGCTTTTCATTTCGGCTGATGCGAAGTGTTGAGAACGCTTTATTTAAATGGATTCGGCTTGTGGCGAGAACAAGCGCAGAACAAGCTGGGGTTTTAATGCCAACAAAATGCAAATTAATATATTTAAAAAACTTTTGCTGCAAGCACAGTTCAAAAGGATGCCAATAAACGCTTTCTCAGTAAAAGAGCGAAGGTGCATTGTGCCGAAACCTGATCTATCTCGCCTGAAGCTATATGGTTAAACTAGTTTTAATTTAAAGTGGGACAGTTCAACTGTGCATAGTTATCTTCTAGACCTAAAGATTCTGATTTATGCCTTAGATTTCACATATTTTAATTAAGCTATAAATAAAGAATGGCATAATTTTTGGATTCATGTTAATAAACTTATGTGTAAAATCATAATTTCCCCCGCATTAATTGTAGATTTTCTGGCTAACGGGGAATATGTCTTGAAAGCATTTCATTTTTGGCCATTTATTATTAATTCTGCCAATATGCCAAAATCTATTTTCTATGAATTTTAAACAAACGCCTTGCTATATTTAGCCTGACATCTGGAATCAGGTAGTATATACTAGGCCAGGTAACGAGTAGGTAGCAGGGGCCACCCGGTGTTAATGTGTTGATCATACGAATATGGCGCACGCCGGCCCAGTTACGATCCATAATTATTAATTATAGACAGTCGACATTCATCATCTGTGCAAGAAAATGCGCAGCAAAATATAGCTGGCTTTGACTTTGATATGTTTACAAGAGTCGCCTGACAAGGATATGCAGGGTACAGGGGACAGGCGCTGGGTACATTCAAACTACACTAAGCTAACCCATAAATATCTCTTTTTATTGCCTGTTTGTGGGCGTGGCTGGCATTTTATGCACACTTTTATCGCTGGCAAGCGTTCTGCCTCTCTCTTTTGCCTCTATTATGGCCATGTCACTTTCATTTAAATTGTTGTTCTCACTGTAATAAAATGCTTAAATCTAGGTCCATATCTACGCACTTGTCATCCTTGGCAAAAACGTATAATTTGCGCGTGAAAAATTCCATTTATTTTTCAATATAATTTTGCGGTTTTTGCTTGTTCGTTGCTCTCTTTTGTTTTGTCACATCATGCATGCATTTTGACCATAAATTTGTAGAGGCGGCCGGCCATAAAACGTTGGCCCGTACGCTCTATGGCAAGTGCAAGTGGAAAATCTTCAAGTGCCCCCATAGACACACAGACAGACGGCCATAAAATGCAAAGCGAAATGAAAATGAAATTAATGACGTCAATTTGTTAACAATTGTGTGGATGTGCTTTCTTTTTGGCCTGCTCTACTTTGGGCCAAAGGGCAGCAGCACACAGTCTAGCATTTGCGTGCACTTCGTTTGAGTTCTTTGCTTTAAATTTAGAATATTTGTCAACTAAAAATAATTAATTGGCACGCTTACTGTGTCGAGGCTGTTTGGCACTGACTGCCATTAGCAACAGACACAAATGTTGGTCACAAATATATAAAAATCAAATGCACACGAGCTGCAAAAGATTTGCTAATGCCCAAATGGAATGCCCTAGGGTGCAGCTGCCTAAATCTAAACTTACTTTCCTTTTTGCTTTTGCTTTTTTGGTGTGTTTTAGTTTTAAATTTGCAAATTATATTTCTAACTGACGCTTTCTTCTCTTTACAGTTCGTGGGCTGGGAGGAGGTGCCGCGTCCCAACACAAGAGCCGAAATTGTGCAGGCTATGCGGCGCATACGGGTGAGTGAACTAAACACACAAATCACACACACTTACGTACACAAACGGGAATCAAAGACATGGCAAACACGTTTCAAGAGCCCGCATCTGAAACTTTTACTTCCTTGATGGTTGCCAATTAAAGAAACTTGCTGCGCCCTTTAAATTCGCCTTGCTTTCGCGCGCCGCCTAGAAGCAGGCAACACTTTTTCTCTTGGCTTGGCGCCACTGTCAATGTCATGTGCTTTGATTACAGTTACAAGCCGCAGTCGCGCCAAAGCTAACGGCATAAAAAGCAACGTGCCATGGCCAATGTGGCGGGCTTGTTTATCTGCCACGCCTCCTCATGACAGGCGGCCCGCCTGCCTTAGTTGGCTCGTGCGTGAATTGGTCCAAATTTGCCGACCTGCTGGCGTTCGACATGTGTGTCTGTGTGTCTGTGTGTGTGTGTGTGTATGTGTATGTATATATTAGTCTTGTGTGGCTTCAATTTGGGAAGCGCTTGATATGGCGCTTGTTATTGTCATGTCTTGCCATTAGCCGCGTGCGTCGAAGGCCGTCAAATGCTAATTGAAAACTCAAGAATCAGCATAAGCCATCCCCAACTGTCACCCTGCATACATATACGTGACATTTATATCATTATTTGATATCCTTTTCTTTTCCTTTTTGTTCCCCAACAGTACGAGTGCAAAGTGCAAAATCTGAAGAAACGTAAGGTTACCATACAAATATCAGTAAACGGCGTTCGAGTTGTGCTCAAGAAGCGTCGTCGAAAAGTAAGTCCAAATCCGATACAAAAACTCATCCATCATACTTGTTTCTGTTGAACCAACAACTGACGGACTTTTGTGTTTTTGTGTGCGTGTGTAGAAAAAGAATTGGACCAATGACCCCGAGGAAATCGAGTTGCTCAATCATCCCATCTACAGAATATTTTATGTGTCCCACGACAGCAGCGATCTCAAAATATTCAGCTACATAGCACGCGATGCCAGCACGGATACGTTCAAGTGTTCCGTATTCAAAAGTCACAAAAAGGTGAGTTTATTTATTTATCAACAAATTATTGTCGAATATATTTTGTTCAATTAAAATAGCAAATAGAAATTACTTGACTCGTGAATTTCAAGTGCCGCAGCAAATGTGATTTTGGTTTGCCAAAAATTGGACATTTGTTAATTTAATAACCGCTGTGTGCGCTATGTGACTTACTTACTACACCAGCCCCTGCCTCTGCGCCGCCCCTGCACATGCCACTGCCACTGCCCTGCCCCTGCCACTGCCCCTGCTCCTGCCCTGTCCTGCCCCCGCCCCCTTGTCTGTGTATGTTCTAAATTTAAACACATTTGTACATGACATTTTGGCTGTCCTGTTTTTGCAAAATGTGTTCTCATATGCACAAGTTTGGCTGGCTTCCAGCGACGTCGCGTCGCGTCGGGGGGTGGCGCTGGGTAAAACCTGAAACGCAAGCAAGCGGCAAATAAACAAATACATAAGTGCGATTTGCACAGAAGCCAGCGGTCTCCATGTGGCATATACGATTGGGGTTAAAGAATTTGAAATTATGTGATCAAAGTAATTTGAATATGCTGTTGCCTAAACAGAAAACTTTGTTATACAAATATGGAAAAGTTGTCATTTATTTCGCAATGACACTCGTTCCCATTGCCTATAGACAACCATTTGATCAAGCTGGTCTAGAATTGGTAATGACAACATGAAGCCATTATCGTTCATCAGTGTCCAAACATTATATTACTTAGCATTAAATTTGAAATGATCTAAGCAAGTGTAAGACGCAACTGTCCATCAGACTGACCGCCATTCGTGGCGCTACGTTTCCGTGTTCGGGCCAGTGTCTGACTGTCTCGACCGACCGACTGACGGACTGACAGACTGACGCTCCGTCCGAGAAACTCACGGTGGCAAATAGAATCGTGGACAGCACTGCGGCAACCCCACTGACAGCGCCCCATTGAGTTCTGACCGCGATTTGGCAAATAAATAGATTGCTTTCACTTTGTAGTTGCCGCAAAATTGCATTCACTTTGATTTCGTTTGTGGTCTGCGGTCACTTGCAGTCCATTTAGCAGCCAGTTGAAGATTTCATGATATCTGTGGCAAGTGTTGCGTATTGCGTGTGCCTCGCAGGCACTCTTGGCCTTCAACTTTAGCTTCAGGCAATGTCAAGTCTGTGCCGTATTGCTGGCATTTCTATTTTCGACACAGTTTTCCAATTAACAAAAGCATTTCGGGCTAAAAAATTTCAGACACAGCCTGTCGAAATGCCTGACAAGTGACACATTAAATTAAGGCCAGGTCCGGGGCAGGGCACGGTTCGTACTACACATTCGTACGTGGCACGTGTTTCGCATTGCGCATACGCTGCGTGCGTCAGGCGGGCGATCTAACTGCGGCAAAGACAATAAACAATACAGGAATAGCACAAACTGCAGCGCAATTGCACTTTGTATTGTGGATCAGGATCATCAAAATAAACAGCAGACAAAGTGATGAAAGCGCTTGATTAATGGCTAAGCAGCCGTAAGCTGCCAGCTAAAAGAAAAGCCAGCAAATCAGCATGAAAAATTATAGGTGCCAGCACAAGAAAATGAAAAAGAAAAGAAAAATAATTATAATGCTCTGAAAAGTTGCCTTTGTTTACTTCCGCGAAACACAAAGCAATGACGTCACACGAACGCCGCCAGCACCAGCGCCCGCAAGTTGCAAGCGCTAAGCGCTACGTTAAAATCAAAACGCGCATACGCCATGTTGTCCCGCCGAGCAGCGGGCCGTCGGCGAAGACCAAAACAAACGCAGCGTGTTGCTGCCAGCGGCCCAAAAACAAACGGCCGTGTTAACAGCTGAGTGCGGCGAAAGCTTTTGCTTTTTGCCAAAAAAACTAAAACCAAAAGCAACAACCAAAAAAAAAAAAGGAAAAAAACGAAATAAAAAGCTCCGCTAGCCGGCTACAGATCTGCGATCTCGCTCGGTTCGCTGAGGCTTTGTCCAGTCCCCACTCGACGGTGCGCCGCTGTAGACGTGCGTTATATGCAAAAAGCAATCAGAACAAAATCGAAAATTTTTAATTATGCAATTTGCATGTGTGTCTGAGTGTGTGTGCGAGCAGTGCAGTGAAGTGTAACAAATACTAATAAAAACAATCGTTGGTAAAACAAATGAGAAAAAAAAATTATTAAAAAAAATATAAATTTCTGCCAGCTGCGAAACAGCAACTAGTGAAACATATTATATTTATAAATATACGAATATGTCACAAGAATTAATTAAATAAATTCAGGCAATGGCCTGTCACAAGCGTTAAGCAGAATATTTTGCTAGACCATAGATCAACAGGCAAACAGGCAACAACTGAAAGAAAATAATAAGAGGAAAATCGTCAAGACTCAAAAGTGTTTGTCATGGGCGCCCGCTGACGCCATCAAAAGTAGCTACAAACAGCCGGGCCAATCAGCTCAGGAACAGCAACAACAACAACAACAACAACAAAAGACACATTTCTCTGGGGGGCTAAAACCGAAAATCCAAATGAAAATTGTCACAGCGCTGGAAAATTAATTGCAAACAAAAGTCTTGAAACGTGCCGTTAGGAATACATTAAAGGGAATGTACTATAGCATTATAAATCTATGGCGACCTTACGAAATAAAAGTCAATAGTGTCTGCTGAAAGTAAGTGCACACTAGTTTACGCATCTACAAAAGCACAAAGCCCGACAACTGACGCACTTTCCCTTGTTTATGCATATTAGTTCTTTGCCAGCGCCATAAAAATGCCGCTGTTCTATTCAATATTCAAAGCAATTTCCACTTCCAATTTCCATCTATCTAGAACTGCCCACGCCAGAGCAGTTAATGAGCTGAGTTCTCCACAGGTAGTCGAGGGCGTATGCGTTAAATATAAATAAATAAATAATTTGATGGTCAATCAGACGCGCACACGTGATAGCATGAAATATTTATGTTATTTCTGCGTTTATTTATAATTTTTAGCTGCTTAGCAAAAGCAAAAGTAAATTGCCAGCTCGTAGACAACAACAGAAATAACAAATAAAATTGAGATTTTTTTTAAATAGGATTAATATTTATAATTAATAAATATTTAAAAAATAAGCCTCACAGCAAACTTTTACTACATTAAAGTGAAACAGCCGTTGTTCCAGTCCTTACACATTTACACATGTTTATAAATATTTTTAAATATATATATTAAGCATTTGCCTTTGTATTTGTGAGTTGTAGCTTTTGGCCAAAAATGGCTGCCGCAATCGTTGAAATTTTCAACAATTCCGTTGATTTTTGCTTGATTTTCTGCTGGTTTTCTTTCTGTTGTTGCTGTTTTTGCATTTTAACCAAAATAGATCCATTATTTTAATAGCCTGCTCTAAAGTATTTTGAAAATCGAACAACAAAGCAAACGGGGGTCGGGGGGCGCCAAGCGGCTATTTGAAACGTGTGTATTTTGTGGGTGAAGAGTAAATAAAAATTTAAGTGCGCCTTTTGCCGTGACTAATGAAAAGTTAATTAGCAACAGTCCAAAGTATCAGTGAAACCGTTGTAAACCACGTGCAAAATGTATAACCCCAAAATGTAACAAACCCCAACATGCAACAGCTGCAGCAGTGGCAACAGTGGCAACTGTGGCAACAACGGCTTGTGGTTGCTGTGGCAGCCACTGCGACTGCCACTGCCACTGTCACTGCCGCGACTTATGGCCACAGCGAACATGCAGTAACTGCTGTGCCCTGCTGGCGATAAAACTCATGGCAAAAGTTAATAAAAGCGATGCCGCATTAAAAAAAGCTCGAGCTGCGTATCGTTTGCATGTGCGTTGCGAGGGCAAGGGGCGTGCTGCAAAGATTTGCTGTAAAAATTTTCCCTTACGACGGGGGCAAAAACATTTGGAGAAGACTAAGAAAACAAATAAGCGCACCGCTTGTTGGCTTTTGCAGAGAAGAAAAATGGAAATCAAAAATCAAATAAATACATAAAAAGCGTTGTTAGCGCCATAAATTTGCAAGTAGATTTCCACGAAAGAGAATCAAATTCAAATTGTATTTATTTTAGTTTTCATTTTAAGCGCCGCTGCAGGCAATGCCAACACTTTAGAACAAATACTAATTCACCTGTATTTTGTTTTATATAGTTTTTGATTTGATTTATTAGCAGTTGCGTCAGCGTATTGCGCACGGATTGACTTGTGTGTGCAGTCAAGCAATCGGACAGGTAGTTAAATAGACAGACAGCCAGATAGATAGACGGCCAGACAATCAATCGACACCTTTGCCACTTCGTCAGACAAATTTGCCGGCACACACAGCGTATACGCAATGTTTGTTTTGCGTGTGCTAAGGGCAACAAAAAAAAGAACACTATTCCGTTTTGGGCATATGCTGAAATCATTTCAACAGTTGGTTTACACTATCATTAAGTTGCAATCTATATAGTGTATGCTAAATAAATCAGATTTTTAAGTACTCAGCAAGTTGTAATTCGTCGTCTGTGTATTGGCAAACTAATTCTGTCTGCGCTTGTCAAAATAACTCAAATTGATGTCTCGTTAATGTCTCGTTAAAGTTGTTGTTGTCTCTGCTGGCTAATGCGCCGATTCTAGCCCTGCCAAGTGCTCGATTTTTGGTCAACATTTTCGAAATGATGGACATGGACATAACGAGTGGATGGACTTACGGCATACTCTTGGCAACAGTCGAATTTTGAAATACATTTTAGCGAAATTTCGAATGAAATGATTGATGGCAAAAGCTAGCCATTCTCAAACAAATATTGTTAGTTGTAGCTCTCAAACTCTGAGCATTGCCATTTAACGTGCTTAGAGGAGAGCTTGAGAATAGGTTTTCTATGCCAGATACTTTGTATCTGTATGCCGCACATGCACAGCAAACCAATTAGATCGATTAGTAATCGAGACTATTTTTAAATGTAGACCTTCGAGCTGTTGTCTTCGTGCCAGTCAAACTGCAATCGGGCACATTAGCACAACACGAGCCCAAGCATAAACCAGATTGTTCCAAGAAATGCAAATTCACTTTAGCATTTCTGATGCCTGACAACGATTAACCAAAACAAAACCCCAAAAAGATTGACAGTTTTGTGTGTCTGGCGGGCACAAAATGAATCAAGCTGAATGCAAGCGTAACGCAGCTGGCAGAAATACACTCACATGCAAATATACACTGCAAAAAAAAAAAAGAAATAATGAAAATTGAAAATAAATAAAGTATTTTCAACTACAATTAGGCAAACACAATTGAGTGCTCCGCGGGCAATCGACGAAAATAATTCAATATAAATACTATATATTGGAAAAACAGAAAGGAAAAAAAGACTACGCAAAAAAGAAGGGTGAAAACAAAAAGAATAACACTTGAACTGTAGGTGCGAAAAATGTTGCGTTTGGCAATGTGTGTGAACAACCTGGGCCAAGGAGCCGTCAATGCCCAGAGGCAGCTAAACAATTATGAAATTAATAGTCTCTTAATTGGCGCCGATTATTATTGAAAACAAATATTGAACAGCATTGAACAGCATTGAACCTAGCAGCAGAAGTACGAAAAGTGCGCGAGTGCGAGAAAAGACAAACAAAAATCGTGCGAAAAGTCGAGCGAAAGTGTTGACAAGCTGTTGGCCAACTTGTTGTGGCCATTTCTCTTTTTTTTTTGGCCAAGTGGACCTTGTGCTTAAGCAAAACTTTAACGGTTCGGTGAACGTCAACGTTCGGCCATGAAGCACGAGAAGAGTTCAGCCATGGCCGCCAATGGTACGCCTCCGCTGAGGCGGGACAAGCAGCGTCAGCAGCTGTTGGAATCTGGCGGAGTCCCACGGAGTCCCATTACCAAGGCCTTTGACTTTCTGCCCTGGTCACGCAGTCGCAGCAAGGCGCCGGCGTGCAGCAAGCCGGAACCGGAGCCGGGCGTTGCAGCTGCGAGTGAAAAACCCGCCGAGGTGCACTATCATCGCAATATCTTCCGCAGCGGCGGCGGTCTCATACGCGACATGCTCGTCGGCGACAAGGACAAGCTGCAGAAGGATAAGCCACCGCAATCGCCGCTGTCGGTGGCCAAGAAGGAGCAACGCAAACAGAAACAGCTTTCCCGTAACAAGAGCCTAGATATACGCGAGCTGATTGGCTGCGTGGAAAGCGGACTGGCGCCGCGAACGAATGCCCTGCCGTCGCAGCCGCAGCCACAGCGCTTCCTCGACGACACCTACATTGACACAAAGCCGCGGCACATACTATTCAACGATGACGAGAACACCGTGTATCTCATTAAAAAGGAGCAGCCGGTGGCAAAGGCACACAAGACGGCGTCCACACACGCCGCCGCCAGCCATTGCAATGGCGGGGATGTGCTGAAGGCGCGGCTCAAGTTCAAGCGTTTGCCCAGTGAGCATTATGCGGCCTCGCCGGAGGCACTGCGTCGCGCACAGCTGCTCTATCAGCGCTCCGAGCAGCGACACGTGCTGCAGCGCCGCAAAAGCCTCAGCGATACGCATAACGACAAGCAGAGCAGCTCCAGCCTGAGCAGCGGCGGCAGCGGTGGCCTGACTGCGGCGGCTGGCAGTGCGAGCGGCATCATGCTGGAGCGACCCAAGACGGATAAGCCGCGCAAGAAACTCTCCTTTCGCGAGCCCATCGAGGCGGGTCTGTCGCCTGTGATGGTTGCCATGTCGGCGGCCATGTTGAGTGAACAGCGGCAGGAGCGGCAGCGGCGACGCAGCTCCCCGCTGGAGCGCACCACTCAGATGGGGCATGGTTTGGACTGTGATGGTTTATGCAATAATCGCATAAAGGATGCAATTTCCTGCGGCCATGCCGCAAGCGATCCGGAGGTGGGTACGCCGCGCCATGGGGCGTATGCGTAATTTGCTTTGTTTTGCCGCAGCTGTCGCTCTGTCAGCCATATGCACCCATTCGAAGTGCCCGGCTGCCTGGCTGCTTGGCTGCCTTAATTGCTTGCTGTGCGGCTTAATATTAATTGTTGTTAACCCCTTATACACACACTTGCGCCCCGCTCATCGCTTTATGTGTTCCTTTGTGTCTTACAGAGTCAGGCCATGCGCATTGTGCGCACCGTCGGACAAGCCTTTGAAGTGTGCCACAAATTTAATCTTCATAAGAATTCCCTGGAGCCCAATGACGAACGCTCCGATGTCTCATCGTCGGAGCTGCTGGATGTGGAGCAAATCAGCGAGCAGCAGCTCAGCGAGGATGGCGGCGTCCTCACCAGCGAGACGCCAAAGAAAGGTAATTGCGAATGCCAGTCTGTGTGCATGTAAGAGTGTGAGTGCGTGCCTGTGTGTGAGTGTGTGTGTGTGTGTGTATGGCACATGCAATTTTCGCAAAAGATAAACCGTATGATGACCCCCCAGCTCCCTGATCGACGCCCCACCAGGCAATCGCTGGGTCGTTGTACGTTGTACAGACTGTGGGTCAATAAATAAATAAAAAGCTGGCGCTGTCGGCAACGCCGGCAGCTTCCTGGGGCGCTTCCATCGGCTGCGACGCTGGCCACTTGTGGGCGGCCCCTGGCCGCACTCTGAACACCCTGGACAGCTGACTGCATTAGTTTTGCAATTCAGTTTGGCATTTCGATGCAAATTTCTGGTGCTGTTTAATTTTGAATTCATTTCAATGCGGCATCAAAAACGAGGCAAAAATTTGCATTTAAATTGCATTTTACAAGCGCCCGGCAGAAGAAGCTTTAACAAAAATGTGCAATGGAATGGGCAAGGAAATGGGAGAGAAATGTTGACATTTAAATGTGGCACATTAAAGAGTTTCATAATAATTAATAAACAATTAAAGCAAATGGCAATGGGGAAATAAAACAATTATATATATACACCAAAAGAAATTTGTGTGAAAATTGCTAAAATATAGATATATATAGAGCAGACACTCCAAACTGTTCGCCAAGCAATTTCCACGTATTGCTTAAATGTTCAATCAAGCCAAAGCGGCTTTTCACATTTTTCTTTGCCACTTGACGTCACCAACCCGCAGACGTTGCCAAAACACATAAAAAAGGGGGAAGAAATAATTTCATATTTTGAGATATTTTACAATATTTTGAGCGACAACTTGACAAAAAATTCTTGGAAATGGCTATAAAATACACTCAGGTATCTTAAGTAGCTGTGAGATGGATTTTTGGATTGGGCACCGTTACCAGGCATGTAATACAAAACCAAAACGTTGTCGCCAGGTTACTTGCAACACGCACAAATCACGTGGCTGCCACAGCTGTATCAGCTCTATCTTTCTGGGCGTGTGGGCGTATGGGCGTATGGGCGTGTGGGCGTAACGCGGAGTGTGGGGCATTTAGCGTTTTGGCATGTCTTTTGGTCGCGGCGTGTGCCAAAAATAATTTATTTACTTTTGTTTATATATTTGACCAGATACATATATGGCTGCTCTTCATGGTCTTGTAATTTGTTTTCATTTTTTTAATATTCATATCTCTGGTCGCGTCTGTTGGCTTAAAATAATATATATACACGCATTTTATCTTAGCGGCTGTCTTGTGCACAACAGCTGCTGCCCTTGTGTGTCTTTGTTGAGAGATTGGACAATGATAATAGGAACACAGTTGTCGGGACAGTTAAGCAAGTTGAATGTCTTCCAGCGTCTAGACAAAGTGGCTTTGCTGGGTACTCTTTAAGGGTAGCTTGAGAAGTATGCTATCTTTTAAAGATGTAAAAACCTAAGAGTTTACTCAAGAAAAGTTTTCTATCAATACAGTAAAAGTAAGGCAAAAGGTAGCCAGGTTACAGTTTCTAAGCGAGCTGAACAGCTGAGAATATCTTGGAATACCAAGCATAATCGATGAATAATGAACTATTCACTTGCAGCTGGTGACAAAAATCTTCATAATTAAATTAGATGCACAGATTTTGGTTTGCTCGTTTTTTAAATGGGTCATTTTGGTAGTAAAATTCGTGAATCACAAGACCAAAAATAGCAGGCATACAGATGTTTTTTCTTTTTTTTTTCATTCTTGATTTGGATTTAGCCTAGTACGTGTCCTTGTTCAGAATAGCCAAAGTTAAGTGAGGCATTATGTGAAAGGCGGTATAAATTAGTTTTATATGAACAATTAAATACGCCAAATTAATTTACATGCTGTGAGGAATTTGTTAGATTCGTTCAAGTGAAACAGTACGCAGTTATTAACATGTGCTCAGGTGCGAAGCCAGTACGAACTTGCCTGAATATTTCATACAATCTCCGTATAGAGATTAACGAATTGCCACGTTTTCGGCGCCGACCACTTTTTCATTTACACGCGCGCTACTACGAGAAAAAAGAACAGACACACACACACACATAATTCAAATTGCAAATTTTCTGGCCAAAGAAATTGTTGAAATATTTTGAACACAAATCAAATATCGAATCGAAACAGAAAATACAAAATAAGCACAATACCTAACTTAGCAGGACCCTTGAACGTTGTGAGAAGGGGGAGGGTGGAGAGGGATGCTGGCTGAATGGATAATTATATCATTATTTATTGTGTACGCAGCATAATCAAAACAAATATTGAAATCAAGCTGCTGTAATTAAGTGGAAATTAAGCACTAGCCGCCCAAGAAGCAGCAGGTGTGCCAGCCAGCCAAAGTCTACATGTGCGTGTGTGTGTGTGTGTGTGTTTGCGTAGTGTCCACTGGCCTTGACAAATGGCTGGGGGTTGGGATTGGGGCTGGTCTGCTCGGTCAATTTACACGCTCCATTTGCCGACATGCGGCGCCTGCTGTCAGCTGGCCACTAAATCTGTACCCGTTTCTGATTATTTATAGAGCACTTGGCCAATACGCCCGATTTGAACCACACGCAGCCGCAGCGACCGAACCACTTGGAGCTGCTGCCAACGCAGTCGAGCCTACGCAAATCGACCAGCCTGCTGGTAAGTAAATATCCAATTCTTTGCATATATCCAAATCCAAGTCTGAATCCGGGAGATTAGCCCCCATGTGTACTTATTATTAAATACTTATCAGCAAATTAAATTAAATAATGGCCCATTGGAAATTAAAGTGCCATAAATGCGCAAAAAATAGAATCCATTAGAGTATTTCGTTTAGATCATTCCTATAAATTCAATATCCCAACAAGAATTTCTTGTTTACTTAACCGAGACAAAAGTGTAAACAAGAGAGTAACATTAAAACCGATTTCATTTTAAACGATTTTTGTGCTTATGAAAAGCGCATGACTTTGTAAAAATTTGTTATAAATAAATACAATTGTAATTTTAAGCAATTGCTCTACATTTTTTAAACAAATATTTTCATGGGCTATTAATATTTTTTTTTTTTAAATATCATTGCCAAATCGATTAAGATAGTCATGATAATAAACACATCTTGAAATCACATATCGTGAAAAATGATATATATGTATAAGATGAATCAAAAATATTTTAGATTATATATTAATTTTGATCTATTTATCAAAGACGTTCTTCAGTCTTACTACTCATTGTCTCAGCTATGATACCCTTTACTTATCTACTTCTACTTGCCTAATCCATTCCAACAGTGCGATGTGGATGACAAATCGCCAGTCTCGCCCTCGTCACCGCGCACTGAGATAACCCAGTTGAAGGATCAGCTAGAGGCGCAAGCGCAGCAGACGCGTCAGGCACTTGGACAATTGATGCTGGTACGCGAGCAGCTCATCTCAGAGACAAATGCGCGCATTGAGGCGCAGGTGAGTGCCCAACCACAACTAAGCACACTAAAGAAAACCTAACTAACCCCCCCTCTCTCTCTCTCTTTGCCTTTTAGGCGCGCACGCAGCAGCTGCTGCAGCAAAATCGGGAGCTGCTCGAGCATTTGGCATCGCTGGGCGCCTACAACGAGCAGCAGAGCGCGGGTCTGACCTCAGCGAACATTGGCATGGCACCACAGGTGAGTCCATATATCCAAGTACTATATATATGTTAAGTATCGTGATCCCTGAACGTGGCAAGTTAACTTGAGAGTTTATGTTCTTTGCCCCAATTGCCGTAAACAAACTGCGCTTTAATTTATGCCTTCATAATTTTGTTGCCTTCATTATTCAAATGAAAAATAAAAACAAAATTTGAAGAAAAAATAAATACGAATTTGAGCAGCCCTATGCATGTTTATTTTACTTTGCAGCCCGCCTAGATATGTTCCCATTGCGTTTACTTTTGCACGTTTGTTTGTTTGTTTGCTTGTTTGTTGTTCATTGTTCATTGATTAAGTTAAGCGGCAGCGTTAATGACTTGAGATACCCTTTCTAACAGCAGCAATCGCAGCTGCAGCTGCTGCTACAGGCGACCAGCAACAACAACAATTTGGCCACAATCAATCAGCAGATTAACAATCTGGGCAACATCAATCAGCAATTGACCTCGCTGAGCCAGCAGCTGAGTGGCCTCAATCAGCAGAGCCAGAACCTACAGAATCTACAGAGCCTGCAACAGACGCCGTCGACGCCGACGCCACAGCAACAGCAACATCAACAGGCGCAGCTTACGCCACCAACGCCGCCTCTAGCGTCCACAGGAGCTAGTGGTAGTAGTCCATATCCCACAATGAGCCAGCTGCAGACGATTAGTAATCAGCTGCAGCAACAGCAGCAGCAGGATGCGCTCTCGAAGGATCTGTTTCAGGTCAACCAGGAGCTCTTGAATCGCCTGCAGGCACTGAATTTAAGTGCGAATGCAACGCAGACGCCACAAACGCCATCCGCGTCGCCTAACAGCTCCTACTTCTTTGTAAATCCGCTGTCCTGTACACCAGCAACGCCCTCGACACTGAGCAACAACAATGCGGTTGGTGGATTTAACTTTCTGACGTCGCCGGGCGGACTTAATGCGGGCGCACTAACGCCATCGCCGCTGGGCACGTTGAATCGCAACTCATACACAGGCAGCTCCATGCTGAACGAAGATTTGCGTCTGAGCATAGAGCAGAATCTGAATAGCCTGGAGGAGCAGCTTAAGGTGGCGGTGTCTAATGGCAATCTGGCTAGCTTGGCCTGTGGCGGCTCCACTAGTACAAGGGACACTAGTTGCAGCTCCTCCACGCTGGACTCACCATCGTCGCCGCGTCAACGCAGCAGCAATAATAACATCAGTCCCGGCAGCAGTTGTCAGAGCAATGTTAACAACAACAATAACAATTCGAGAGATACCCGCTTTAATACTGTGCTGCTGCGTGTCACCGACGAAGCGGGACATCAGCGCAAGCTATCGGCCACGCCCAGTTTTATAACGCGCAGCACCAGTGAGAAGGTGCCCAACCGCAGCCAAATGATGAGCCAGGTACAGCGCACCGCCTGGGCCAGGCACACCACCAAATGAGAAGAAGTCAACAATAACCATTGAGAGTGGACCAGCTCTTAAGTTATGATAGTCACCTAAGCTAAGTCGTGTGCGCGTGAATGTGAGTGTGTGAATGGGAATGAGTATAGGTTTGAGAACGAATATGAGTATGTGAATGAGTAAGAGTGTGAGAATGAGTATGAGTATGAGCATGAGGATAAGTATGAGTATGAATATCAGTATGTGTATGAGTATAAGTTTGAGTATGAGGATAAGTATGAGTGTCAGTATGAGTTTGAGTATGAGTATGAGTATGAGTCTGAGTATGAGAATCAGTTGGAGTATGAGTATGAGTATGAGCATGAATATGAGTATGAGTAACAGTATTAAATGATAGCGCAAAACTTGTTTTTAGTTTGCAATTTTAAGTTCTTTGGATTTCTAGTCCTGCAAGGTAATTTTCAAAAGGCAAATAGAAAATATACTACAACTGCAGCATATCATAAAATAAAAAATTAATTATATATCAAAGTATTTTCTCTCCCTTTAAAGTGTCAAAGTAACTAGTTGTTAAGCTCTAAATCGCTTTAGTTAAAAACAATTTAGTAAACTGTTGTTATGTAAATGTTATGTTATGCAATACTTCCAAAAATGTTTGCTTACAAAATCGGATAAAACGAAAGGATTCAACAATTGTTATGAGAACAAATGTCGGAAACAAACGCAAGATTAATTGGTTGCAGCAACTGTTAAATATAAAATTTCTCGTTTTATTTATTAACTAAACATTAAGCTACAAACAACAAATCAGGCAAACAACAGCAAAAAAAAAGCATAAAAATAATAAAATATCTCTATAAAATCATATATAATCATTACATTCATTAATAATTGTCAGCTTACGCAGCGTTGGACAATTTTCCTAATGAGTTTTACAGCAGAAGCTTACGAAAACACGCTGCATACTTTCGAGGGCAGCAAAGAAAAAAGTGCTGCATACTCTTAAGCGCATTTGTATTACGCATACGCCGTGTCGGATAATGAACGGCCGAACACGCAGTGCATAAATTTGGTGTGATAAATGAAAAACGATGGCAAGCAGAAAGTGCAGAAAGCAAAAAAAAAACAAGTGTCGCCGTTTTTCACTTTGCTTTCTCAGCGCCCCCCTCCCTCTCTCCCCATCTCTTTTCTGCATCCACATTCTCTGGTGTTGGTGGACAGCAATTTGCCCACATAACTCATTTGCATAAATTTACACACTGACTTTTTGTTTATGCTCGACTCATTTTCACAGCTCTCGTCGACGGCCAAAGTGGCTCGCTGGTTTCAACAGCTGCCCTGGCATACCGCCTCGCTGTCCCGCCCAGAAAGCGGCTTCGTTTCCGGCGACTCGCGCTCTGAGAAGTATCAGGAGGATCATTTCTATGGCGGCATGGTAAAGGAAACGGATGATTTATGCGATGAATTTCTGCTCGTCGAGGGCAGCAGCACCATTTGGACTAAGTTAAGCGCCAAAAAACGTCGTAAATTGCTTGGCATGCGTTTGGGCAAAGTGACAACATTTTAACTCAACCCCCCCTCTAGCTCCAACCCCTGCCAGCCGTAATGTGTGCGTTTATTAGCTGCTAACTGCGTTTTTTTTAGCATAGCCCTAGGCAATGGGGCTTTTATCGAGCCAAGTAGCTAGTTACTTATATTCTTAGGCTAGTAAATATGAAAATCAATAGACTAAATGACCAAATTAACCCAAAACGAACGACATGCTCATTAAAATGCCATGAACACACACTCACACACGCGCGCACACATGCAAAAAGACGAGATAAAAGCAAGAATAAAGTAATAAATAAGCGTAGACATAAGTCAATTAGCGAGCATAAGGCTTAAGCTCAATGTGTATTTAAGTATTAATAAACTAAGTAAAAGTATTTCGCATGTAATACACACACACAGGCACACACAGGCGCACACACATGCAATGTCCTGCACAAACAAGCAGGTAGGCAGTCAGGCAGTCAGGCAATTCATTAGGTGGACAAAGCGAGCGCATTTATCATACGCCCTCTTGACTCGAAGGAAACAAAAACGAAACGAAGCATAATAAAAGCACCGCAATTGCTGCTTAACTTGGCCAACTTTTCATGTTTGAGAAAAACTGGTTATTAAGCTAAGCAAACACAACATGCAAAAAGCGCAAAAGGAAGCAATGTGGAAAATTGTATATGGGCAAAATAACGTACAGAGCGTAGCTATTGCCTTGCGGATTTGGCTGCTGGAAATGTATGGCTAAGTAAATAAGCCAAGTTAACACAAGGGCAACACAACAGAACACAACGCACGCACACACATACACAGTCTGTGGCTTACACAAGTAGTAGCAGCTCAAATGTTTGCTATTCATACATTTTTCAGCATCAAGCATTTTTATGCATAAATCGATTTTACTTTTATGCGGCCGCCGTTTTGTGTGCGAGCATTTTGGGCAGCTCTATAAAATTATGTGGGCGGGCTACGTGGCGTGTACGTGATTACCGCAGCCTGAGTGGATTTAAGCGGACAACTGGAAAAACAGGTAGATTAAATAGTTTAAACAGATTGAAGATTGAGTGCAAAGTAAGTCGAATTAAATTGCACTCAAGCTTTGATAGTTTTGAAGCTTAAATTAAATAAGTTGGCATTAATTCATAAATATTAAAGCTGATCCAGCAGAGAATTCATGTATACAGAGTTCTCTGTGGACTGCGCCCAAATTATTTATATTAAGATACGATATCCCTAACGATTTTAAGGCATTTCCGCAAAATTTAAACTAATTTTGAAAATGAAAACGAGATTTAATAAAAATTATGTACGTAATGTTTTAGTTAATTTATGCAACAATTTTTGAGACTGAAACTGAAATTTGTACTAAGCATAAATAGAAAACATGCACGCACATTAACACACTCACACACACACACACACACACATTGATTAAACGTTTCTTACGCGAACATTCTAAGAGCATTTTACAGAACCATATAATATTAGATTAATTCCATTTTATGATTTTAAGCTATGCAGCAGAATAAAGTGAATAATAAAAATTAAACGCACATGCAGTTTTTAATTTGTTGCTGTTGTTGCACACTTTGCTGTTCAATTAATTTAACGTGCTGCGCATGTAATGGAGCCAAGCGCTGCATATCAACAGGGCCAGCAGGACGCGCTAGGACGCGCCAGGACATGGTACATGGCACAGCAAGTGGGCTTGGCTGGCAGCTAACAAGCGCACTCATGCGCTTGTCCGTGGGGCGGCAGCGGCCAGTGGGCGTGTGAGCGTATATATCGCATATTGAAAATTAGAAAAACCCACCCAACTTGACTTGTGTGTGTGTGTGCGGTCATAATTACTACGATTGTTACAGGGGCGGGAGGAAGCGCCGACGGCTGACGGGGTCTGCGACTAAAAGCAAAAGAAGCGCACTAATGGAGCGTATGAAAATGAAAAATGAAAAGCGCGACATGCGATATTTTCACTTTTATTTTTCTTATATAATTTTTTTTGACACTTTTTGGGGCACAGGCAACGGACATAATTATACAAAGCTAAAAGCCATGTTAATGTGTAGGCAGCGCGACGACCCTGAAAACAGGAAGTCCACACAGACACAAACACACAGACACAAACACACATACACACACACACACGCACAGTGTGCAGAGTTAACAACATCAACATGTGAGCTATGTGACAGCAACAAGAAACAGTTGAAAGTGCCGCGTGTCCTGTGCTCCTGCTGTCGCCGCGCCAACGTCATTCACATTCACATTTACATTCACTTTCACATTTATTGCGTGGCTTCAACGCCAACGCCGACGCGTTTAATTCACATTTTATTTTCGCTGCTGCTGCTGTTGTTGCTGCTGCTGCTGCTGCTGCCGACTGGGCGCGTAATTGTTGCTTCCTTGGCCAGGACATGGATATAGTACGTTCGCGTTGGCGCTGCACAGCGGACGTGTGCGCGGCACTCAGTAAATTTGCCAGGACATGCAAAACGAGTCGAGTGAAAATGTGGCCCCATCGATGGCCACAACAGCTATCGACGCGGCCGACTCCATGCGCAGCACACCAGCCCCTGAGCCACGTCGTCCCAAGCCGGGCATACTCCGGCTGGACATAAGCAAGCCACGACGTTCATCAGGTGGTTCCGTTGATTTTCGTTGCGTGAGTGGTACTGGCGCTGGTGGTGGCGGTGGCGGTGGCAGCAGCAGCGCCAATGTCACGGGCGCCAACAGTGAGGTAAGTGAGAATGATTTACTGTACGCCGGGGAGTGCTTACGATTTGGCCAGGACACGTGCAGCAGCGGCACACAAACCTATAGCCATAAGCAGCACCAGCACCTGGTCAAATCTGTTTTTTTTTTGGGGATTTTTCTCTTGCAAATGACCATAAAATGCAGTAGCAAAAACGGAGCGTTAATCGAAAGTGAATGCCCTAAGCAGCGCTCATTAGTACAGGTAGAGGCTGAGAGAGTATATGTAGTTCATACAACTTTATAATAACCTTTTTGCTCATTACAATGATGTAAAGTGTACATAAAGTTAAACGCTTAATGACCAGCGACTTGTACTGGGCAAACACATGGCGGGTTGGACCACGCCTTGGCACGCACTCATTAAGTCATAAAGCTAACGTGTAATCTCAGCAAAGCAGGCTTCAGAAGTGGGTCAAGTGCTCGTCACACAGGCATTCAGAACAATATTTTCTCTAGTTTAATACAAGCCCAAAAAAACAGTCAAAAACTACATCAAACAATAAAATATTACAGAGTCTAACAGAAATAAAAGAAATTCCGAGCAGAATGTCGTTGAACCAAACGGATGTTGCCTCCATACGTTTCCTCACGGGAAGCAGCTTTGAGGGCTCCTGGAATGAATCGGTGCGCATGATGGATGGCTTCGGTAGCTATCGTTATCCGGATGGCAGCGAGTATCGGGGTAGATTCGTTGAGGGCAAATTCCATGGCTATGGGCACCTGAAGCTGACACAACCCTTTCGCTTTACAATCAAGGGCGAGTTTGAAAGAGGCAAACTGGTGACCATTGAGGATATGTGGTTCAATGATGGACTGCACGTACAGGGCAGCTTCCAGGATGACCAGTTCATATGCGATGATTGGGACTATCTGACACCGAGCGATCGTCGCTATCAGACGGAGCGTTTCTATGGCCAGCAGCCCGTGGGCCCCACCGCCTATTTGACAAGCACATTACTAGCGCGCACTGTGCCCCATAAATGCTATGATGTGGAAGAGGGAATCTTCAATGCCAAGACCGGCTGGTTGTGCGAGAGAACACCGCCCTTTTCGAAGGCCGTCTATGTGGGCTGTCCACAAGAGAAAGCCTGGATAATACGGCATTGCCGTGGCGAGCGCAAGGAGAATGTCCGAGAGCCGCTGCCAAGCTTTTGCAGGCAAATCATTAACAACAATCTGGAAACCGAGCTAAGACAACTAAAGGATATTACTATATATGCACCCGACAAGGAGATTCAACGCGAACGCTACTTCCCCAAGCTGTGCCACGACTCAGCTACAGCGGATAACCAAACCGCAGATCAGGAACAGATACCATTCACACGCCCTCCATTCCAAAAAATAAGATCGACAACTGAGCTCTGCCTGCTTGCGCGTTTTGCGAAGGAGCAGGAACTAGCCAAGCAGAAACGTCTGTCTGATAAATTGCCACCAGCTAGGGCTCGCGTGTGGACCAGCAGCTCGGATCCACTAAGCGGGGACTCGGGCGCCACGAAAACCATATCAAAGAGTCCGTCGGACGTATCGCTGCACACAAATGTCAAGACTTTCTACGATAATGCATTCCCGATGATACAGAAGATACCCACAGGTAGCTTACATGTGGTCCAATCGAATATGAAACGTCCAGGCAGCTTTGTGGACATAACAGGTTCCGTGTTCGAGCTATAAATCCTACCAACAAATTAAATTATGCATTTATTATAAATTCAAGTAATGCATACGACTGAATAAATCCAATAGACTCATGAAGTTCAAAATTATAAATATATAAAAAGCTGAAGCCACATGCTGGGGAGGAAGGACTACTGTAAGGACGTTTGAGATTAAATTCAATAATGTTATTTTATTTATTATTAAAATATAGTTTTGGATGCAAAGCTAAAAAACATTGCTCAAAAACGCGTGTGTACAACCCATTCAGATTCGTATTCCATTAGCTTCAAACTTGTTTTTTAAGATGTGTGTAAAATATCATCATGGGCGACATGCTTTGCCTATTGCCTCAAATCGAACATGGATTTTGGAAAATCCTTCCAACTAGGCGAATAGAGGAAAATCTAACGTATTTTTGAAAACACATAATGCGATGAAATTTAACGTTTTAGTATACTCTCAAAAAATTGTTTGTGTTGACATTGCCAGTTAAATATTTTACAAATAAAATATCATACACACACAAACATATAGAACATACATAAATATACATAAAGAAACAACAATCATATACATACATATCGCGTGCATAGCAACATCACAGCAATGGAAAATATATCGTCAAAGACTCAGACTTCCAGCTTTCTCACGGGCTCTAAATTCTATGGAAACTACAATGAGCTGGGCATGCAGGACTACGGACTCTATGTCTATCCCGACGGCACCAGATACTTGGGCCAGTTCTACAATAATCGCTTCCACGGCAATGGAACCATAGAATTACCAAAACCGTATTGTGTGTTCTTCACTGTGGTGCATAAGCACGGTGAGCTGACGCATATTAGCAGAATGAGCTTCACCGATCTGCTGAACGTGCAGTTCACGATGACCCAAGACAACATTAGCTTTGAGAACTGGAACTATTGCACAGCGGCAGATCGTCGCTTTAACGCGGAGCGAATGACAAAATTAGAAGCTGTGGGTCCGGAAATGTTCCTGACCAATAGTGGACCCAATCCGCCGCAGCTGCACCGCAACGTTTTCGATCTCGGCTTTGGGCTGCTTACTGATCTGGGCTTCCTGAAAAATATGCCGGACCATATGACCGAGACGACCCAATTCTATGTGGGCTGTCGCAATGTGCGACGCTGGATACGCGAGAATTGTCGCCATGGTCCCCTGAAGGGCAAGCACCTGAAGCAGGAGGTGCTTTCCAAGTTTGCGCGTCAGATCATGCGCAATAATCTGGAATGTGCTGCAGAACTGAAGACACATCCGATCCAAAAAATTCGCACGACAACGCAGCACAGGTGCAAAGTGTGCCGACGCTCTAGAAGCGAGGAAAGCGCCGGCTCGGCCAAAGAGGTGCGTTTGCACCTGGGCAGCACCTCCAGGAGTTGCAGTTCCATTATGGATCATGCGCTGAAGCGTGAGCAACAATACAGACGACTCTCAAAAAAAGACTACCCCATTCGGCGCTCCAAGACTGAGGAAAACGTCTGCCGCTTAAATTAATCACATAATAATAGCAAAGAGTTGTAAAAATTGTAAAATTAATATGTTATGCCCGGCGATTAACCCAAATTCTATAGTTTTATCGGTTCTCAGCGTCTTTTGAGGTCAAAGCCGTGTAAGCCAAATATATTGCATTGCCTCGGGCTTAGCCCATGTTTGGGCGTTAGATTTATGACGAACACTTCGACAAAAAAAACTGCAATCGAACATGGAAAACCACTTAAACTAACACATGTGTGTGGGTGTGAGTGTGTGTTGTGGGTGTGGTATTTGGGTCAGCAGGTCTCTGGTACAAGAAGGCATTTGCTTACATTTGCCAAATGCCGTTGCACCTGTCACAGCGGCTAATGAACCCATAAAAACCCACCAAATTATGTTACACGTGCGACATGATTTTAGTTAAGAAGGCGAAAGGGGGAGGAGGTTGCCATTTGGCAGCACACGGCACGCACAAATAAATTTTGACGTTAATTAAAAAGGCCGTAGCAGGCAGAACTTCATTTAATTAAAAGCACAGTCAAAAAGTTAAAGGATAGTGAAATCTGGTAAAAAGCGCTTTTGAAAGCGAAAGCGAAACCGAAACACAGCAGACGACTAAAAGTTATATGAAAACATATTTCAATAGTGGGCGCGTCCTATGCTCGTGTGTGTGTCTGTACGCGAGTGTGCGAATGTGTGTTAGTGTGTGTTTCTTGCTGTTGTAATTTGCGATTTTCTTTATCAACCCTTGCATGTTTGATTTTCATTTACATGCCAGCCCGGTCGGCTAGCCAGGACAAGAATACAACGTGACTCAATCCTGCCACACACACACACACAAAAACTCACACACACATATACACACAGGGCTTTGTCGGCCATCTAAATGAACATTCGATGTCCTGGCTGGTTGCCTGACTCCTTGGTTTGGCCAACTGGCTACGCCTGGCGTTGTTATCACATGCCGCTGGCGATTTTAACGCTCATTCGTCTTCGTTTCAACTGGGCGAGGAAGTCAACGAGTGGTCAACTCGCCCCTCCCCCTGCACGTCCTTTCCTACCTCAATGCCGCCGCGCGTGTCTATGTAAATTCCTTAACGTTCTTGAGTTTGTGTGTGTGCGCGGTGTGTGTGTGAGTGTGCTGCTGTGTCTGTGTATGCGTTTTGGGCACGTTTTGGCTTTGATAAGTCTGTTGGCCATGGGTGGGGTTCGGTTTGGGTCTCTGCGCTTCATTCATATTCATTCAATATTAGAAAAAATTTAACTTAGCGCGCTCGCTCGCTCTTCAACCTATCTTTTTGTGTGTGTGAATATTTGTGTGTTTGTGTGTCGCGTTGTCCTTTTGATGTCCTGTGAGTGCGGCTTGCTGGTCTGGCCAGCTCGCTAAGCCGTTCAGTCTGCGCATAAGGCTGCTCCAAAGCGTTACGACGGCACAACAAACCAATATTGAATCAACTTTGGTGCCACGAAATTTAATAGAAAACTTTGTAGATTAAAGACTTAAGTATTTATAATAATCAAATAAATATAGTGATGAGCAAAAAGTATTATATATATATAAAGAATATCGAGATGCCTATGTGTGTGATTTAAATGTTTAATATATATGCTTATATGCAAATGTTTTGGCTAGCGACTGGCCCCATCTGATAAACGAAAGCAGAAATTTAATTAAAATTGAACAATTCCTAGAACAACTCGGGCGTTACCTCTCCACATCAATTATCTGTGACGTGGGCGCCGCCATGCGATTGGGATAAAGGCGGCTGGCAAATGCAGAGCAGTGCCGACGAGCGAAGAGAATATTATAGAGGACAAAAAGGCAGAAGGTAAGTAAAGACTCCGGTGAATTCAAGGAAATTGATTTAAATTGCAGTTGTATAAAACAAGGGTTTTCCTTCTTTTTTTTTAAAGAACTGCATCGCAGGACGAAAACAAATCTTATGAACTAAACGGTATGCAGTAGAACTTACCCCAAATAGCTGCACATAATTGTAGTTACTTGTCGCAATTTCCACACATTTCCATTTCCGTGTGCACAGATTTTCACGCACCAAACCAAAGCAGCGACGCTGAGAGTTGTGCCTACAACAACAACCAGGAGCCAACACATCACCAGGAACTTTCCTACGAGCAGCAGCTGCAAAATGGCACCATTGATGCTGATGCTGATGATGATGAGGAGGACTACTCAATTTCCGTATCGGCGATAATGCAAAGACGTGCCAGTGTGCGTGGCTATAGAGGCAAACGTGGCAGTCGCAATTCGCGGCGTGCATCGAGTCCCATGGATCACATGCTCGATAATGTGGAGCGGCGACGCTCCAGTGTTTATACAACTAGCTCAGGCAAGGCTCAGCCCAATAGCTGCTTTCAAAGATTTCGTTTAACTTACTACCCGCCAGAGGCTAATCAATGTGTGCGTGTATGTGTGTGTGTGTGTGTGTGTGTGAGGGCAGTTATAGTAATTTCTCCAGCTACGTGCGCCCATTTAGTGGCACGTGGTCAACGTGGCATATGTGTAATGTTTGTTTTGCTTTCGCAGAGGAGGGCACCAATCAGGAGTCCACACAGGAGCAAATCTTTGAGAATATACGCCTACACAAGGAGGTCATACAGTCGGTCAAATTACAGCCATGGCATATACGCAAGAAGCTCAAACTGGTGCGCCAGGTAGGCAGCTCGGCAACTTGGTAGCTCGGCCAATCCGCTCGGTTAACTGGGCCAAAGCTGGGCGCGTCACATTTTACGCCTTAGCCTTAGCCTTAGCCCTAGCTAGTGGGCCATTAAATTCACAGCAAATATTTCGATTTCATGTGTCAATCTTTTCTCGCCCTCCTGACGGTTTCTCTTCTGTGTTTTTTTTTTCGCTTGGCATTTTTAATGATGTTGACAGGCGAAAACGTATGTGGCACGCCACGAGGGCGCGCTGCAGGAGCGCTTTGCCATGTCACGCAGCACGAGAGATTTGTGGGCGAGGTTTAAAATTTTAATGGCAGCGGTAAGTGAAATCTTTCAGCACCATAACACACACCAACACACAGCAAGTACTCTTTGCCTTAAGCAAACACTTTGCTTCAGCGAAAATGCAAGCGCAGGCCCCTTAGTCCGGCTGGACTGCCAAGTGTCCTGCATATATTTATGTTTACACAATTTATGGGCCACAAATAAATCAAGAGCTCCATAATTCACAAAATATGTCGACAAACTGCATTTTCTCTCTCTTTTTTTTTTTTGGCTGTGTAATCCACATGAAAACCAATTAAAAAATACGAAGTCAACAAACCGAATTCGAATCTGTGGCATTCACGCAAGTTCTTTGTGCTCTTCCGCAGCGCTGGCGGCATTGGAAACGCGAAACCGCCAGCTTTCTTACAGTGCTCATACCCTGGGAGCTGCGCATCAAGGAAATCGAATCGCATTTCGGCTCCGGCGTCGCATCCTATTTTACATTCCTGCGCTGGCTCATGTGGGTCAACATTATGATTGCCATACCGCTTGTTGCCTTTGTTATTGGACCGGAGGTGAGCGTGCAGCAAAAACAATATATTAACCATGTTCTCCATATTGAATACATATATATTTTCCATAATAGTACTTTGCCACCAAGCACGACGAAACGGATCCACGCAAACGCATGTCTGAACCGGAATACAAAGTGGCCGGTAATCTTTTTACGTTTTGGGAATTCGAGGGCTACTTGAAGTATTCGCCCATGTTCTATGGGTAGGTTTTAAAATTTGAACAAGCAAATTGTCTCGTTCTTTGTTTTGCCTGCTTTCATTGTGCATATTTATCTCTTGGCTTACTTCCTGTTTATAGTTATTACTCGAGCACTTCCGGCATCAGCACATCCGGCTATAAGCTGCCTTTGGCTTATTTTCTCACCGCCGTCCTGGTCTACATCTACAGCTTTGTGGCCACGCTGAGAAAGTGAGTAGAGGTCGTGGGCGGGGTGTGGGCTGAAGGGCACTTCATTAAATCTCTGGACATCGAAGCCACAAAAGCAAACTAAATGCCAAAAATGGTCGTTAATTAATTAAACCGAACGTCGCGCTGATTAAATAATACAAATCTTGTCGCTAGGCGTGTCCAGAACAAGGAAAAGGCAAAACTTTTTCGCCTATCACAAGAAACTTGGTCATTATGATTTACGCACGCACGCGGCCAGACACGAGACCTGCAGCAGCTATGGCTGTGGCTGCGGCTCCGGCTGTGGCAGGGGCAGGAGCAGAAGCTAGGCCGTTGGGTCGATTGGAGGAGGAAGCGAGGGCTAGGGCGTGTATACGCTTGTTCCGTTTAATGGCTTTGTTGGGATTATGTTGATTTCGTAATTGAACAGAGAGGCAATGTCAACAGCGCGGATGCCGACACTGACCTTGCCACTTGTCCTGCCTGCCTGCCTGCCACATGTTTGCGGCACGTGCGCGGCATGCGTGAATTGTACTCAAATTTATGTGGCATTTGTCTTTGCACGGATTTGTGCGCCAATTATGTGTTGTAAGCAGCTAATAAAAAACTTTTGCGCACTTTTATCGACTTTGGCAGGATGGCTGAGAACTCGCGCAATTCGAAACTTTCCTCAAAGGATGATGAGTGCGTCTTCTCCTGGAAGCTGTTCACCGGCTGGGACTTTATGATTGGTAAGTGGCAGTAGCAGCTAAACGAGTGCCGTGATTATATAGGATTTACACCGACAACAGGACACGCGGAGACAGCGCATAATCGCATCGCATCCGTTGTGGTTGGCTTCAAGGAGGCGCTGCTCGAGGAAGCTGAAAAGAAAAAGGATAATCGCAAGTAAGTACAACGGAAATAAGCGTCAATTGCAGTTTATAATTGGAATCTTATGCTCGCAGCTGGCGCGTTATCCTGCAAAGGATTTTGGTCAACATTTTGGTCATGGGCTTGCTGGCGTTATCGGGCGCCACTGTGGTGCTGCTAGTGAATCAGTAAGTCCTCTTCCCTGCCAGCCAATACACCTAATTGTAGCTGTCCATTTTAACCAGCTCCGAGGATTTGGCCAAGCACGACAATTGGCTTAGCCGCAATGCGGTGAACGTGACGATGACGCTGCTCTCCTTCTTTCTGCCCATGATTTTCGAGGCTCTAGGCTTATTCGAGAACTGGCATCCCAGGCAACAGTTGCGTCTGCAATTAGCACGGTAAGTGGCGGGGAAAAAAAAAACTTTGACAGGTACATCAAGTAACGTCCACACTCCTACCCTTTTGTCTCATCACAGCATTATGATATTGAACATGCTGAATCTGTATTCGCTCATGTTCTCCTTCATCTACAAGATAAACAGCAAAGAGAAACCGTTGCAAATGCTGAAGCTGGAGAACGAAACCAACACCCAGGAGCTGCACAATCTGATGAGCTCCATCGAAGCACTGCGTGCCATGACAACCACAACGCCCATCTACAGCGACAGCACTTCGGACGGGCTCTACGATGACTTGACAACGACTTCGCCCTGGGGGGCCGATGGTGCCGGCACCACAGATGCCATCTTCTCGAGCACTGCAGTGGGCGCATTTATAACCACATTGCAGCGGCTGAAGTGCTACAACATGACTGTGAAATGCTCAAAACCCAGACGTATATTGATCAGCTCGAAGAATATAGCAACAACCTTGTTGTTACTCAATCTGACCACGTCAACGGTGTTGCCAACAACTCTTCCAACAACAACAACAACAACAACACCAAGCACTACACAAGCGACAACAACCACTTGGTCTACAATGCCACCAACAACCACTACAGAAGCTGCTACAGAAACAACATCAACAACAACTACTACAACAACTCCTTGGCCCACTTTAGCAACAACAACAACCACAGAAGCGACCACAATAACGACAACAACGCCGGCAACAACATTGCCCACAACAACAAGCACCTCAGCAACTCCCACAACTACAACAACAAGCACAACAACTACAACAGAAGCGCCTTTTACCACGGACGAAGAGTCAGCGTATGATTATGGCAGCGATGAGCCACAGCTGGACTCCTCAACCACCACAACAACACCGGCGCCGGGCAACGATAGCTACTTTAACTACGTAGATTACTTTGAGGGTGCAGAGCTATCCGAGCCAGGCGTCGATTATCAGGCAACCACCGAGGAATCGGATGATCCGCTGGTCCAGGTGCTAGCCCAAGTGGATGAGCAGCCGGCGACAACGCGCCGAAAAAGAGCTGTGGCTGGGCCACCAATTTGGCACTCAAGCAAATACAGTCGACGACATCGCAATGATACAAGAGTCACGGCTGGCTTTGCCACAGAGTCGACAACACCTGCCAGTAGTTCACCCATCAGGCCCGTATATAACCCACCATATAATCCGGTAAGGAGAATTCTGAGCGAAGAAGAGTGGAACCGCCGGCAGAATCTATTGCGCGGCGGACTCATCAAGACAAGCACCACAGAGCAGCCAACCACAACCACAACAATATCAACAACCACTACAGAGGAGCATCCAACAACAACGGATATCTACAGCACGGATCCGAGCATCCCCGCGAGCAGCAGTAACAGTGGCAGCAGCACCACCACCGAGGAATATGAGTATACGGATCAGAATGGAGCCACCGTGACGCCCTATTTTATAGACTTCGATGATATAGCGGATGTGGGAAGCACCGTTTACTACGACAACGAGAATCTTGGCTACTGTGTGATAACCGTGTGTCCGAAGGATGGCGAAGACATCTTTGGTGGCAGCACCACACCCGATGGACTGGACACCACGCTGAGTGGTGAAGTCAAGCAGCCAACAACTGCGATGAAGACGCCGCTGGAGCGTCAAGTGATGCGGCTGAAGGAGGTGCAGCTGACGCTCAAACAAATCCAAATGAATCTGACCACCATGTGCTGGGAAACATCGCTCGGCCAGGAGCTGTCAAAGGTCATTGTCTTCGATGGGGTAAGCGAGCGCCAAGTCAACCACAGTCTAAACACAAATTTATCATCATCATGAGTAGCTATCAATTTCCTTTGCGCCAGTCAAATGCCTCGTTTCCGGCACAGGACCCGGCCAGATAAACAGCTGCCGTTTTGCACATATCAAAAGTCCATTTAAACCTAAAATATGATCGAACTTTAAGATACAACAGCTAAAACGCAACGCCCAAGCGTGAAATCCCGTTTAGCCAAATTGTGCGGAAAATACTTTAAAAAAAATTTGTTTTCCGCTTTTCATGCAAAAAATCAAATTTTTGGCAGAGTCTGAAGCGGGGGCAAAAAGCAACAAACGCCGCAAGAAAATAAAAACAAGCAAGACGAAAAACAAATATGTAAAAACATTGAAAACACTCGACTGTAAGATACTCTGTTCGCACTTTAATAAGGAACTTCTTCTAAATAGTTCCTGAAAACTAAAGTTCTCTAGGCTTATAAAAGACATGAATATTTTAGTAGACAGACAAACGCATAGGGCATATATATACCCATTATGCCATTGGGAACAGTGTAACCAAAGCATTTTATCATACTAATCGCTCTCTGGAGTCTTTTGGCCACAGCACACAGCTGGCATCCGCTGTCTGGGCAAAATTTATATCAATAGCCATTTGCATAAGAAACATTTTTGAACTTTTGGCATCGATTTGCCAAAGTTTTTCTTTTGTTGAACGAGTGTCGATTGGCCAAGGATTTGATTTTGAAATTCAAGGCTAATCGCCAGCAAATTCATTGGGATCTACGAGCAACTTTTCAGGGTCAGCCGGTCGGCACTTCGGGCCTACTTTTTTGGCTGTTGCCGCCGAGCTTGTAAACAGCTTAGAACGAGGCAGCCAAAGAACAGACACAAAAAAAAAGGACACACGATTTGATTATGTAGAGATTCTTATTGTTGTTATTGTCAACTCGACATGGCGTACATAATCTCTATTAAACGATTTGGGAACATAAATTAAGCATGTTACAGGGCTTCAGTTAAGCGCATTTATGCCTTATGCATAACAAATTTTGCAGCAGTGCGTTCGTTAAGGTCAAATTGGGTTTTTGGGCCATGTGCGGTTTTTGGCTGGGAGCTGGGCACGTGTTCGTGCATGAATTTCGGTTGGAAAATGAATGGGTTTTTGGTCAGATAGTTTGGGGCCAGCCAAATCAGCCATAAACATGGCTTTAACTGCAGACGGCACAGGAAAGGACGGGACAGGACGGGCAAAGACGAGACAATGCAGAGGATGTGCTACGTGTGGCGCGTTTTAAGCAGTGACCAGTACTTCATTACAAAATGCTCTTAACCCCCTTATAATCCTCTCACCACCTCACGCTGGCCCTTGCAGCTTATGTCCATTGTGGCGCCGTTGTGCATCGACTTTTTGCGTGCCCTATTTGTGCGCTATGTCAATCAAAACTGGTGCTGGGACATGGAGAAAACGTTTCCGCAGGTAAGAGATAGACGTCTCCTACCACCTACTAGCTACCATTCCTAATCCTCCTATGCAACTCTCAACTCTTAACTTTGTGACTAATGGGACGCTTTGTTTTTGTGGCGCCTGACATGCAGTATGGCGACTTTAAGATAGCCGAGAACATCCTGACGTTGATTAATAACCAGGGACAAGTGTGGATGGGCATATTCTTCTCGCCGGGTCTGGTGCTCATCAACCTTGTCAAATTGATGATTATGATGTACTTTAGGTCATGGATAGTGCTCACATGCAATGTGCCGCACGAGGTGGTATTCAAGTGAGTATTCCATTCTCCCATGCTTAACCTCAATCAATTGTTTCACCTAATCAACCAAACATGCTTGTAGAGCTTCCAAGTCCAACAATTTCTATTTGTCGCTGCTGCTGACCATGCTGTTCCTCTGTGTGCTGCCCGTGGGCTATGCCATTGTCTGGCTGCGTCCTTCCTGGCATTGTGGCCCATTTTCGGAATACAATCGCATTGCCGAATTCATTACAAATACCACACGCAACGCGTTGCCTAAGTAAGTAGCAATATTATGAATGTTATCCAATCATAGCTTATAATTCTGCCCCCCTCACTGCAGGCAACTCCATGAGCCCCTGGACTATCTGACATCCTCGAGCACAGTTATACCTCTGCTGCTGCTCCTCATACTCATCATCTATTATCTCATATCGCTGACGGGCGCGCTACGCGAGGCTAATCAAGATCTGCGCACACAGCTGCAGAAGGAGCGGGAGGAGGAGCGCAAAAAGATTTTCAAAGTACCAGAGGTTAAGCAGGCGGAACCAACGGCCACAACTCTGACAAATCGTTGGCGCAAGGTACTTGAGGCATCATCCCCCGTCACGCCCACACAGCCGCCAGATTTTGACACTGAGGAGTACAAGAATCAGGCAAGGAAAGGTGAGCATCTATCGAAAATTTCGCAGTACATTGTGTAATCCCCTTTCCACTTTCCCCGCCTCCGCGCTTCTTCAGAGCTCATCTCACGCATCATGAAGAAGGCATTGCGCAAGGGCTCCGCCACCTCGGATGAGGATTCCTTTGTGCGTCGCGATGACGATGACACGGACACTGAGCACCAGGATTCGCTGCCGCACGATGAGGAGCCCAAGGAGAAGCGCTTTGGGCTTTCACGCCTGCAGCAGATACGACGCACCCGGAAACCGTCGCTGGTGGACATCGTGCAGATTGCCAAGCAGGAGCGGGCGCGTTCCAGTTCCATTGCCGCAGCCAATGCCGCACTGGCTGGTGGAGGCAGCAGTCCGGGCACAGCCGGTGGCGGTGACCACTTCCCCATAAAGGAGCCCCATCCCAAGAGCCGATTCAAAGTAGAGAAAAAGGAAAGGGAAAGCTTTCGGGATAAAAGGGACAGGCACAAGCAGCCGTCTCACACCGAGTCGCCGTCACCCAAGGCTGGCGAAAATGATCCGGAGACAAACTCTCGAGTTGTCAGCGAACGACGCGCCAGTTTACTGCGCCGCAAACGGGACAAGGAGGAACAATCCAAGCTAACAACGCCGGAACCGGATCCGGCAGCCGAACCACAGCCGTCGACAGTTAAGACTGCGGATCGACGAACACCCGAGAGTCAGTTTCACATCGTGGACGAGAAGAAGCCACCAGAACCCGAAGAAGAAGAGCAGGAGAAACCACTCAAGGAATTGCCTCCACTGCCTAAAGAGGGCGTTCATCTGGACGGCAAAGGCCTGGGCAAGTTCAAGTTCCGCAAATACAGGTCAAAGGCAAATATTGTGGCTGCCAAGCCGGAGCCGGAGGTATTCAAGTTTGATGACAAGAGTCTGGAGAAGAACAAGTCGGGCGAAATACCACAAGTACCCAGCGCCGATCACCTAAACACCGAACTGGCCAGCGGCAGTGAGTCGCAGGCGCTGCCTTCGCCTACGCCCAGCCAAACACATAGCCAGCGCCAGGTGAATGCCGAGAAGTTGGCGGCGCTGTCGCGTCAAGGACGCAAAAAGATTGGTTCCCTATTGGCCCTAGTCCGTGAGGCTGTCAACATAAAGAAGGAAGATGTCGAGCAAGGTTCCGATGACTCGCCGGGTCCAACCACCCCTACCTATTTGGCATACACACCACCGCCGCCACCGTCGCTATTGTCGAGCAATTCGAGTGCCACAGCACTGGAGATGCCACCCACACCGGAGCCGGATTCGCCTACGCCAAGCGCTCCGTTGCACTTTGGAAGCAGCACATCCTCCGCATCACATCGGCTAGCAGTCAAGCCACCAACGCCATCTGTTGCGGCTGCTGCAGGCGCTGCCTCAAGTTCTACGCCAACCTTAGCCACCATGGATGATTTGGAGGAATTGGATATGCCGGGACCTATTACCTTCCCCAAACGCAGTGCTTCCCAGCGGCGACGCGCCATGAGAGAGGACTCCCAAAGTTCCATTTGGTCAGATAACATACCAACGATTACCATCAGCACCACGGGCAGCGATGAGTGCATCGTGGAGCCGGAAACGGCAGCAGCTGCTCCAGCAATCGCCGTAAATGGATTACCTGAGCGCAGCGATCCACCAGGTCCCGCTGTCAACATCATAAAGATCAATATCGAGGATGAAGATGAGCAGCAAAAGTAATTCCAGAACTAAACAGTATGCCCCAAACGCCAGATTGTCTTCTTTACTAATGAAAATTTGTTTAGTCTACTCACAATTTAGCTTAAACTTGTTATCAACAACTTGTTAGCCAATCTCTATCTGTCTACCCGAATAACATTGAATAAAATAGTTTGCTTTCCTTGAATTCAGTGAATAACAATTAATTTACCGATGATATTCATTCGTAAAAAATATAAACAATAAACTCAATCTCAGAACAAAATTTTAAGTTCTGAGATTTAAATAACAGGCGCCACGAGTTACATAGCATTCAGCTTCTGGTGAGGCAATGCGATAACATAGCAGGCAGTCTCAAAGTAGGCTGGACAAGAGCTTAATTTCAGACACGAACCAAAAGTTAAGATAAATAGAGACGTTAGCTTAAATTATTTTACATCATAATTTAAATATAAAATTATAAAAATAAATTCAACGTGGTAGATTAATAAATGAATATGAAATATGCAGGCTGACAGACACATACTCGCTAGGTTTCTAGACTGTCATATGATGTCAAAGTTTATATAAACGTATATATTTAGTTTATATAAATTTTCATTCAATAACTGCTCAGACAATCAATTTCACTTCCTCTTTTATGGACATACATTTTTAGAAATGATTTTAGTCAATGAAACAGAAAGTTCTTCTGCTATTTTGTAGAACGAACTCTTATCAGTTGGCCAGCGATAACCTGCTAGCTCTATAAGCAACTACATAAGTCCAAAAGTAGAGCGGAGAGCACAGCCTCCGATAATGCCAGGCATTCAGTCTAGTAGTCACATGCAGATCTCATGTCATATATGTCTAACATTCGCTCATATCTAGTTATCAAATATTTGCCAAGACCAACAAAATTGTGCACTTCTGGAATTATGCTTGAAACTTAAGACCTGACGAAAGAGGAGTAACATTACAATTAAACATCAATTCACAAATCTGCGAAACGTTCGCTCTCCAATTTCAACCACATAGTTGCCCGGCTAAGCTAAGCCCAGCCAGCCAGCCAAGAAGCTCGGCGAGTGCCCAAGCGCCGCAGCAGCAACAACGATCACATAGCTACTCACAGATACAGATACAAGCACAGATACAGATACAGATACGAGCAGAGCAGAGCAGAGCATAGAGTTTCACTCAACGAGAGCCGCTGAGCGGTTGCGCCGCATTCCTCAAGAGTCAGTTGAGCATTGGACGTCCTCGTTAGCGGTTGCCTGTGGTGTTCTGTGCGGAGTAAGTGCGACAACGTTGCCGCCGAACTGTTCGGTGGTGTTGTGTGTAGAGTGTTGTGTGCTGTGTGCGGAGGAGTCTTAACTTTTCTTCTGGAACTCTTCCGTTTTTTTTTTTTATACATTTTTCGGCTGTCTCGCGCTGTGTATCGTGGGTTTTTTTTGTTTGCTTTGGCCGTGGCGGCAGGCGCAGCTAGCAATAAAAAGAAAACCTCAAGATAAAAAAGTATCTTGTTGTGTGTTGGTGCATGTGGATGTGAGTTTGTGTGTATGTGCGTGTGTGTGTGTGACAGACGGCGTATGACGAAGTGTTTACTCAAAAGGTTCTTGCCTTCAGTGTAGTGATACAATTACAACAAGTCAAACATAAAAAAAATTTTATGAAAAGAAACCCCGATAAAATGTACTTAATAATGAAACAAAGCAACTACAAAATTCGTACAATTACCAAGTCAGCAGAAAAGCGAGAAGTTGTGTGCCAAGTACACAAAATAAACTCGAAATGAAAGCAAATGCGATGACAAATGCATTTAAGCACATGTGAATGCAACTGCATGAGATATTCCATGCAACATGCAAACTATTTATAAACGAAGCAACAATCTTTTTGGAAAAGCCTCCCAAAAAAAAAAAAATAAAATATCAACCAAATGCAGCATGTGTTAGAAGGCAGACAAAAAAAATAAAGTATCTAGCCATAAATAAACGAAAATAACGCAGTATTTGTTGTTGCTCTGCTTGCCCTGTGCATCGCTGAGATACAACCAAAAAAAAAGATATATACAACAACAAAAAACCAAGTTTCGTAAAAGTATCTGAGCGCGTAGACCCAAGTGTGCAGTTTCTTTTGAGTGAATTCGTGTTGCTTTTCCTCTACCTGAGTTGGTGTGCGTGTGTGCGAGTGTGCGTGAGCATGAGCGTGTGTGTCGTGAAGCAGTTGATAAAAACAAACGCTTCAATAAAGATAAATACCAAAAGGTGCAAACAAAAAGCGCCGTTTCAAAACAACCACAAACTGCGATCCGCTCGCCGAGTGTGTTATATTGTGCTCTGTGCCTCGGTCGCAGTCTCAATCTGAATCTCAATTCCATTCAGTTCATGCCACCATATCGCACTAGTTCGTAGCCCCAAATTCTTATCGCAAAAGGAACTCGTGTTCATAGGCGCGTATCGCAACAGGCAGCAGCTCTTCCAGCCCCAGCCGTAGCAGCAGCTCAACAATTGAAATCTGAATGGAGCGGATGTTCATTCGTGCTATATGTATAAGTATATAGAATATCTCTGTATGACAGCAACAACATAAACAGTGCTTGTATTTGAGTCTTGGCCTCAGCTGAACTCATTCCCAAAGGGTTCCACACACCCGACCACACACTCACACACAGACACTCGCACACTCACTTGCCTCACAAGTGTATCAAATGTTGCCCCGGCGACAGTCTTCGAGATTTTCTTGTGCTTAATTCGGTTTCGAAATTAAACAGTTTTTGTGTTTTTTTTCAAAAAAAAAAATGTGAGACTATACTGATAAGCCACAACATAAATCTGTATAACGACTACAAAGAATTCAACAGTGTTCTTCCCGAGGGGTGCACACTCTCTAAGCTATTATTAAAAACTGAAAACTGATAAAAATAAATAAAAAATTTTGTGCAAACAATCAAAAGTTGTGTTAAAATCTAGAAGACTGTGTTACGAAATAGTGTGCTGAGTAAAAATTATATCAATGGAATACAAGCAAAAAAGAGTTACAAAGGAGATATTGATTAATGATTGACAAAATGATTGAGAGGATATGTATATATGTTATTATTCCTAATTTATTCTTCATTTTCAATGAATAATTATGGCCTTACTCTGGATCAAATTGGATATGGAATACAAGCTGAACCAAAGATAGAATCGCGAAAGATTAAAAATAATTCTATATGTTTCTTTTATGATCTTCATAGAGTTAGAAAGGCATGAAAGTATTCCTGGAATTGATTCAAGATTCTCGAAATGAGTGAAAATAGATTTATTTATTTCTTCATATTTTACGAAGCATCTTTCTTTGGATCATATGCGACATGGAAAAGAATCTGAACATATTATTATTGTCATATTTAATCAAGAATTCAAAATATGTCTCTTGAGCAGAAGTAAGAGGGCGCCTAGAATTCTATAATTCCTGGAATATTTCATTGTACATAATATATATATCAATCTTTGATTTTTTATACCCTTCATGTTTTCTTATCTTACTCTGATCCACATGCTTATGCTGCCTTATTCCGCTTCTGACTCATTATAACTGGTAATTTCTTGTAAGTCCCTATTCACGTTTTAAATATTTCTTTCCTACTCTATCCAATCAGGCAGTTGCCAGTATTCAGCCAAGTTTGCTTTATATAACAATCTTACGGTCCTAACCTAGCTATTTCCAAAAAGAGTCTTACTATAAATATTAAATGATATCATCTGAAATACCCACTAAGTAAATATACTCAATTTGCTGTGCATATTTGCTAATTAGCGGTACACAAAAATATACTTAGGCACAAGCTCAAGTATCTAAGAGATGCGCTGTTTAAATGAATCTAACCTTGGCTAAGAATAAGACGAGTGCATCCAAATATTCCTTTAACAAGTTCTCTAATAGCCTGCACAATTTTTGTTGCGTCAAGTAATTGCAAAGTTTTCTTTATCCAGATACATGCGATATGTATCTAGATACATATATGTGGTGTGCATGGGCGGAGTAAATGTAGATGAAATCATCGTTTGGAATTATTTCAAGTTTCAGACAGAGGCTAGAGCAAGTTGGGGGCTATTGTTGGTGCTTCTGCTGGGTTGGAGGGACGTACTGCATACACATAGTCGGAAATACAAATTTTGTGGGCAATGCCTGAGTTAACTTCCAGCGCGTAATACAATTTTATATGTGTGTGTGTGTGTGTGTGTGTGTGTGTGTTTGTATGAGTGTTTATTTATGTCTTTACTGGTTGCTTTTGTTGTTATTTGAAATTTTCATTTGCAGTTTTTGGCTTTTTTGGTTTTGTTTTGTTTTGTTTACACGAAAGTACTGAAAGAACCAGGGCCCATGCGGTTGCTGGGGAATGCTTCAATGAACTAACACACACAGATCGGGCAACTTATTGACTGACCGGACAGCAAAGTTTGTTTTTCGGACCGGCGAACGAACTAATTAAAACCAAGCAGCAGCAAAATAACTCGAACGCTTTTTATACAGCTCAGACAATATGTGCAACAGATGGTTTTTCTTGGGCATTTCTAGCCGAAAATTATTATTATATACACACATAGTATGTATATCTTGAGGCATTAGCTAATCGAATATCTTGTGCATATTGCAGCGAGTGAAGCCGCTCCAGAACCAGCCACCATCTCGTTGAGCCGCTGATGCCTTTTAACTCAAGTGCAATTATGCTTTAAGCTGTGACAGTGAACAACAAACAACAAATACCCATCAAAAACACCCACCCGAAATACTGGAACTACTCGAATAAGTGTTCAAAAAACCTCTATCCTAGTGTAATAATTAGTCTGTAAAGCACGGATACAAGTCGACAAACAAGGCCAACGATGAGGCGCAACAGGCGGAGTCTCAGCGAAGGCTCCTCCGCGGCGCGTCTGCTGCTTGCCGGAGCGCTGCTCTGCAGCTGCGCGACGGCTGCATTCGGCGTACAACGCCAGCCCATCAACTCCGCCGGCGGACACGAGCTGCGCGGCACCACATTTATGCCGGCCCTG